GCCGAGCAGAGCCGGGCGCCGGGGCCGCGGCTTCCGGAGCCGCGGGGCGGGCGGGGCGCTCCAGGCTGATTTGCATGGGCGCCGGGGAGCGCGAGGCCTTCCCCGGGACACGGCGTGCACACCTCCCACTCACCCCGAAAGTTAGTAGGGGCTGACCTTCCAGGGGCCCGACAGAAGGACGATCCGAAACACTGGGAAGCGTCAAGGCTCCTTAAACCTGTGGGGCTGGCTCCACCTCCTCAGAATCCGCACCTGGAGGCCCTGGGGCCACCGGCGGTTCTGCCCTCCCTGCTTGTGGGGCGGGGGCGCAGGAACGCGCCGGACCCCGCACCAGAGCTCCCGCCGCGTGAAGGCAGCACCGACCCAAGGCCCGAATCATGGGGGCTCCCAGTAACCGGTTCGTGTGAATCAAGGTCGTAAAAAACGAATTCATAAACCAGAGTTGGCGTGAAACATGGGAGCATCTCCTTAAACGCCCAGGTCCACCTGGAAGAGACCACTGCCCTCCTTTCTGTGGCATTGCCATCTCTCCTCTAGAATTGGCAGTTATGTGCGCCTCTGGAAAATGCTGGCCATTGCTGTTTTGTTCATTCCCCTTGTCATCGATTTCACGCAATTTCCTGACTACACTCAAGATATATTTACGAACTACGAACTCAAATTTGAGAAAGTGACCTACCTTCCTGTAGTTCCCCATCTGAACACCCCAATACTTCCAAACCAATGTAACAGAAGCACTACAAAGGGAAGCCTGGCGTCTCAGTCTAAGATGATCGAATTTCAAAATGCTTAAGAGGTGGAATCAGCATAAGCAATAAATACCACGTCTCCGACTTTTTTTTTCCCCCTCCTTCACTAAGTCACACAAGTGGGTAAGAGGTCTAAAATGTCAATGAAATGCTGACTCTTCTGCTGTTGGGTGTCTTTTAATAGTAATCATCATCATCATCATTTTAGGATCATTTTCTAGACTCTAAGCCTTCTAACTCTGGAAAATTGAACACCTTCAGCAAACATGTTTACACAGAATTTCCTAAAATCTGTTGATAGTACCAAAATGACTGGCAGAATGGTCCCTCCCTCAGAACACCTTAATTTTGATCAGGCACTTATCTTCATAGAATTAAAAAATTAAAGCCAAATTACAAGTTGTGACACAAATCAGGGACATCTCTTCCAGGAGCCCCACCATTACTAAGAGAGAAGGGTGCAGGTTCCCTACCTGTGAAGAGTCCAAGTCATAATAGAAACTGTAACTCAGGCTAGCATTTGTAGGGCTAACTTGTTTGAGTAAATCAGAAGGATCCCTTAGCACAGCTGTTGATTCTCCATTTTTGCAAATGCTTTACACGCTAAGGGAAGAAAAACTTAAACCCCCTCCACCTATAAATACCCGTATTCTTCCTCAAGAGGTGCCCAAATGAGTTGGTGGTTACACGTTATGCTCTGGAGTCATTTCGAAGGGCTTTAGAGTTGACCTAGTTCAAAGGTGTCACTTTTTAAGTTAGACAATTGAGCCCCAAATGACAAGCCAAAGGCATACAGCTGGTCAGGAGCACACCTAGACCTAAAAGCCAGGTCTTAATAATGCCTACTTTGGACATTTAATATAGCATTTTGATCTGGAACTTTCTGCCTAGAACCCAGCAAGCTTTCTCCTATCTTCTGTCTCCTATATCACTAGAGGAAACTCGGATCCCTCTGTCCCCTTCTAATTACATGGACCCTTCCTATGGAGCTCTCTTTGACCACCCACCATTGAGAAAGCACCTCACAGGCATGAGAGGACTTAACATTTTAAATGTTACTGCCCAGCACAAAGGGCAGGTGATAGAAGAGTCTAAAATATGTTGGCTAGTAATTATTTTGAATATCACTCCATATTATTCCTGTATTTTATTACCACAGACAGCAGAGTTCATGATCATTTTAGCACGTTTAACTCATGCTATCACTTTAAACTTGTTTTCTTTAGAGAATTTTCTTTAGAGAGAAGCCCACTTCTCTCTAGGCCTTCATTAGTCTGTTTTAACTTGAATGATTCATCAAATCATTGGGCAGCAGGATTGACAGTTAACAAAGAAAAAAGCAACTAAACCAGTAGAACAATCTGAAACAATCTCAAAAAGATGACACAGGACACAATGTTTCAAAATTTGTACATTGTTTACTTTAAGCAACAGTCCAGGATTGTTAAGTACAACACACATTTTAAGGATGAGACTTTCATTTCATGGTCAAGCACCAGCATCATGCACACAGCTTCAAGTTATCTACGAAGAGCACTGCCCCCTGGGGTCTGTTCATGATGAAGACCCACTTCCGTGTGGTCACCCCCTTGCTTGCTTCACCACTTGGAATCGTCAGTTCCGCGTGCACCCCGAAGCCCTCCTCTGCAGGAGAGCAGCAGGCTTTTTGCTCATCAGCCAGGCAAGTTAGTATCTGGCTTATTTCTTAAGGTTCAAAAATAAAAGGCAGTTTTTTGCTTTGCAGGCAGCAAGGCAGGAGGCGCAGGCCTCTGTATTGTTCCACATGGCACAGGGAGATGCTTTTAGCAAAGGGCACTGACAAGTTAGGGCAACACCAAGGAGGTTCGGCATCAAGACAACCTTGTGTTGGGGCCTGAAGGAATGGTGCCTGTGGACTGTTTACTGGTCTGTCCAATCAAGGCTTGGTAAACCCAAGTAAAGCTGACAAGAAAAGGGTTTTAAAAACCTCAGTACAAAAGATCCTCTAACACATCTGGAACCAAATTATTTGTTCTTAAAAACACGGTACTAAGTATCACAAAGCTTTCCCTCCAATCTACTACTAGAAAACACTCATGCCATGGCCTACAGACCCAGAGGAATCAGGACAGATAAAGAGAACCTGTTCTTCAAAAAGGGAAAAAAAAAAAAGACAGCAGTACATAAAGTGCTTCTTTTTTAATGAAACAAATCAAAAGATGTACAGTCAGGCTCAAGTTGTGCAGTTCACAAGCATGAAGAAAACAAATAAAACAACAGAGTTCAGGACAGTCGGAGCTAACCCAGGACGAGGCTGGACTTGCCGCCAGGCGGGTTTCTTCGGGACGGCACTGGGGCAGGTGCCACCGGGCTGGGCACAGGGGCAGCAGGCACGGGCTTCTCCTCACTCTGCCCCAGGCTAGCCTGCAAGTCTGTGTCCATGTTTTCTAGGAAAACAAGGAAATTAAGGCGAGTAACTATTTCAAGTTAAGATGAAGAGTCTCAGATTTTTTTTAAAGATGGTTGCTTAATTGCTTTATATTATTTTATCACATGATATAGTATATTTGATATAATATAGTACTATATTTGCTCTACTGATACAAAAAAATTGAAACCAACCCAACCATTCTAAAGCTGTAATGCATATACACTGGAATGTGTGCCCAGGGCTACTATCTTCAGTATGAACAGACACTACACATCCTCCTCCCAAGAGGCTGTGCCAAGCTCTATCCCACCACTGCAGTCTGTCTCCTTACATTTATGCACATCCACCATTTGATGACCACCTCACTTTAAAATTTGCCAAACTGATGGGTGAAAAAATGTTATTTCATTCCTGTTTTATGTTGTATTTCCATGATTACTAGGTAAGGTTGATCTTTTTTTTAACCACACAGATAGCCAATTGTACTATGGAAATTAATAAAAGAACCTTAACTAAATTGGAGTCGGAAGGCCTGTAGGGGGAGCTCTCACGCCCTATCACAAATCCGCAATTACACCAAACAGGAAGAGGGATGCTTACATCTCTAACAGGAAGTAAAACTACTTTACTATTGAAGTAAGATTTCTCTCCCAGCTCAGCAACAGCCCAGCCAATGAGGAACGCTGCAGCTCAGCCAATGAGAAGCCACTGCCACCCTGAACTTCCCCGCAATGGCCTTTCCTTTAGAACAGCCCTTCTCTACTCTCCCTTTTTCTCTTGAAGCAGCTCCTCTCCTGTGTTTGCTGGATCTGCCTAAGGTTTGCCACAGCATGCACATCCTGAGTTGCAATTCTTCTGGCTATTCCTGCATACACTCATCTTGGAGATAAAATAACAGGCAAATGTGCTTTTTAAGTTGACAGTACCAACATCATTTATTAAAAAGAGTCTACTGGGGCCAGCCCGGTGGCGTAGTGGTTAAGTGCACGAGCTCCACTGGGGCGGGCCAGAGTTAGTAGGTTCGGATCCCGGGAGCGCACCGATGCACCCCTTGTCAAGCCATGCTGTGGCGGGGTCCCACATAAAGTAGAGGAAGATGGGCACGGATGTTAGC